ATAGGGGAGGTGGTAGGGGGATGAGTGAAATATGTGAGGGGGATTAAGAGGTATAAACTTCCAATTACAAAATAAATGAGTCACGGGGATAAAATGAACAGCGTGGGGAATATAGTCAACAATATTGTAATAACTTTGTATGGTGACAGATGGTAATTAGACTTATGGTGGTTATTTGTAAGGTATAAAAATATTGAATTACTATGTTGTGCACCTGGAACTAACATTAAGTCGATTATACTTCTATTTAAAAAAACAAAGTAAAAAGCCAGACAAGGGTCCTTATATTATTGAATATAGTTATGGATGTTCCTATGCAATAAGAAATAAGAATATGCAGTAAGAAAAATGAAAGAGGATTAGTTATTGGGAAAGTGGTGGCAAAATGGTCATTATTTCAGGTGTTTTGATAGTCCATATGGAAGCGCAAAGCAGTCAACTAAAAAAAAAGATTAAAATTCAGACATCGGTAAGGTTGCAAAACATTTGAAAATCAGTTGCATTTCTATGCCTACACCCATAATAATTAGTTAGCAAAATGAGTTGAGAAAGATCCAAATGCTAATGCAATAAAAATATAAAATACCTAGAAATAAACCTTTAAATTGAAGTCCACACCCTAATGATGAAAATTATAACATTTAATTGAGGAAACATAAAAGAAGATCCAAACAAATGGAGAGACCTACAATATTGCCAGACAGAAAAACTTACTTCAATATTATAAACTCTCCCCAAGTAAACCTCTATATTTCACACAACCCAAATACCAACGAGATTTTTAAAAAACTGAACAAAATTATTCTAAAGAACATCTGAAAAAAAATGAAAGTGGGTAAATAAGCAGTACTATCTTGAAAGGGAGTAATGTTGCATTTGTATATTTAGTAAGAAAATTTTCAAAATAGATTAACTTGCTTATGGCAGATTGCAAATGGCAATTACGTTTGCAATGTGGCAGATTACAAAATGTTATGAGTATAATTTGTTAAAAAATAAATTATACATAAAAGAGGCTTGGAAGTAGATATAGCAAAATACTGTAAGTGGTTGTCTCTGGCTGATGGAATAATGGGTAATTCTTTTTTAGCTCGTCTGCATCTCCTGAATTTTCTACAACAAGCATATATTGATACTATAGAGAGGAAAATGTAATTTTATCAAAGCAGATCACATCTTTACTCCTTCAGGAAGTCTCTTATTTAACCCCATCCCTCCTGATCTGGGCTAGGTGGCTTCACATTGTTATTTTTATTTCCAGACACAGTATATCGTAATTCTTTGGTTTTCTCTCTTCTAGTCTCTTGAACTTTTTAGAAATGAAACTGTCTTTTATCAGTTCATCGCTAATACAGAACCTAATATAGAGCAGGTCCTCAATAAGTATTTGTTGACTGAGTGGATAAATAAGAAAAAAGGGCGGGGGTGGGGGATGGGGGTGGAATATACATAAAAGAATTTTAAAGTCCTTCTAGCACCACTAGAGGGAACCACATCCCCACCAAGATTATTCTTGGAGCTAATAGATTTTTTTTTTTAAATAAACAAGGCTGCTCAAATCTGAGAAACCTTCCAGAAGGCATTATCAGGCTCACCCAAGGGGACTGAATTTAAACCATTCCTAACAGTGAGATGTATCTTCTATGATTAGATAGTCCCAAGATATCCCATTTTATCCAAACTCATCATTAATATCTGCTCCATTCAGTCTGACACTGATCAAAAGCAGTTTTATTGGTGATCAAATTGTATCGTGTGTATTACCTTCATAACAAGAGAGTAAGCTCATGTTTAAACTCATTTCTCTCTCATTAGCCAAGCTCAGTTCTAATCAGTAAAGCTGTGCAAAAATATTTTTGAAATTGCATTATAAGGTTAACATTCTCCCTTAAATCATGTGTCACTCCAAGAAAATCTAATACGCCAAATTCTAAATGTACAAAACACAAAAATCATGTGCTCGTATGAACACACTAAGATTTATAGGCGATTTCAACACAAAATTACAGTATAAATCCTCTCCTGATGCACTTAAAATATGATCGTGTTTTTGGAATTAAAGTGGCAGCCACTTTTATAAGGGACAGTTATGACTTAAATAGTGACAGGCTGTTGCTGATGAGACTTTAAGGGCAGACAAGCCCAGTCAAGGTGGGCAGAGGCACTTGCAGAGGAAGGCATAACTGGAATGTGTTTGATGTTTTGAAAAATAGAAAAAAACAGAAGCAACGGTGAGAGTTCTGCGTAGTTGCAGAGCTGCTGTGTCGTGGAGGCTGTGAGATGTACAGACAGAAAGTGCAGAGTGTGCAGTGGCTTCTCAGACTGTCTCCAGCAGTGCCCGTGAGAGGCACAGTGACTGCCAGAACTCAAGTCTCAGCTCCACCCTCGCTAGTCTGTGTGACCTTGAATAATCTACTCAACCTCTTGATGCCTCTGTTACTTCCATGTGCAAAATGGGGGTGATCATTAGAACCTACTGCTAGGATTCTCATGAAGATTAAATGAGACAATATGTGAAAAGTGCTTGGAATAGTAGCTGGTACATAGAAAAGGCACAAAATATTCACTATCACTCGTAAGCTCATTCAACAAATGACACAGAAAATTTTCAACAAATTATGCCTGGCATGGAAGAGGCACTAGGTAAGTGTAGGCTGTGATTATATGACAGAAGAGCCCTAGATAGCTCATAAGTGTTTCGATCCTCATGGAAGGTGTGTTTCCATCACACGTATCTGGTCATGAGACTGCACTGTCGCTTGATAACAGCGGCTGTGATGATTACACTGGTTCCTCTATTCTGAGTCATTTCCATAAGGAACCTTCTGATAGTACATTAGCATTCTACGTAAACATTTTCCTAAGGAGAAGATGTACTGGGGAGTTGGCACTTATGTAACTCGTATGCCATACTTAATTAGTTTAGGATACAATAAGGGTACATTCCCTTTAATGTTCAATTTGGAGAGGCTCTAAGCCCCTTCCTGACCAAATTAACAGGAATTAATGCTTTCTAGGGGGAGGGAAGAGTGCCTGCTTCACATGCACGAGGTCCTGGGTTCAATCCCCAGTAGCTCCATCAAAATGTAAATAAATAAATAAACCTAATCCCCCCACAAAAAAAGGAAGAATTTTTTTTAATGTGCAAAAAAAAAAAAAAGACTTTCCAGGGATGTCTCCCCATAAATATTCTTACGGAAAGAGGGTTCATTCAATTCAATCAACAAGAATTTGTTAAGCACCTGCTGTGTGGTAGGCACTATTGAAGGATGTAGTAAAGCAGTGAACAAAACAGCCCTTCAGCATCCCTGATTTCATGGGGCTTACATTCTAGTGGAGGAAACAAATAATTAAGGAGTGAGTTACATAACATCATAGCTGGCTAGTGATGAGCACTGAGGAGAAAAATAAAGCAAGCAAATGGGATCTGTATGGGAGGTGGGGGTGGAGGTGATGCAGTTTTAGACAGAGAGGCTGGGAAGTCAGGTCCTAAAGGAGAGGAGGGTGGCATCCATTGGTCCAAGGGCCAGTTAACCTTCTAACTCACCCGCTGTGAACTTCAGGGGTTCAGATGTTCCCTGATCTGGGTCTCCACAGTTGCTCACATCAGGCCATCTCTCCTGCTGAACTCAGGCATCAGCGATACCCGTGACTACCAGGATCACTTCTCCCACATGCAGATGTATTCTCTTAGTCCTGGAAGTCCTCACACCCTGCATCCCCTGCTACTGTTGCAACTGACAGACGATGGGGGCCAGTGGACCTGCCTTCCACATCCTCCACAGGGCGGGAGTGGCTTATCCTCCACCCTCCACCTCTCTGGCCTCTTCATACCTCTCAGTTGGGCCCAGTAATCACAGAATATCCCTCCCTCTCTCGCTTTCAGCCACAGAACTAGCCACAGGCAGAAGAGTCTTCCTGGCCTGAAGAGATAATCCCCAGATAAAATACTCCAACACTGATCTGACTCCTAAAGTCTGAGAGCCATCCGTCTCAGGTGTAGGCCCCTTCTTATAAGAGGATTCTGATCCTGAGGTCAGCCAACTTTTTCTGTAAAGGGCCAGGTAGTAAATTAAATATTTTAGGTTTGTGAGCCACATAGGTTTCCATCCCATATTCTTATTTTTGTCTTACAATCAATCCACTAAAAATCTTTTTTTTTAAGTTCCTAGTTCATGGGCTGTACATAGTTTTGGCAACCCCTGTTCCAATCCATTTGTTGTTTGCCAATGTTAAAATTAATAGATATTCCCCAGGTTTTATAAATCAGTCTTTTGATGATTTATTTCTGTTGGTTCATTCAACATTAATAGAATACAATTATCTGCTGCATCAGATAATATATCATTTGTAAGGCCTGATACATGGCAGGCATTCACTTTGTTGCAGGGTGGGGGAAAAATGTATTATTTAAAGGGCAGGTACCAGAAATCCTCTTGAGTAGACAACTGTCTTCTTTGAGAAGACCTTGAGAGATGACCTTGGATGTGGAGGGTGACACTCCACAGGCAGGGTGGGCGGGAGACTGTGATACAGAGTTATACCGCTCTGCAGGAGACATTAATGAGCAAATGAACGTTGGGGAGAATAGCAGATTGGAGGATAAACAGAGGAGGAAAATCAACGCTGAACAACACGTGAGGTGACTGAAGCCCATGAGGAAATGTGGACTGAGACACAGTCCTGTGGCAGAGTGGCTAAAAGACTTTTTTTTTTTTCAATCAGCTTTTTCAGTCAACTCCAGTTGGCGGTTTTTTCTTTCTTCTTCACAAGCAAGAATGTGGCTGACTTCAAAACAGTAGGATTTACTTGAGATCTGGGCTCAGAAGGCAGGGCTGGTGATCTAGCTGGCCTGCCACTCCGGAGGTCGGCAGTAGCTGCTCTCACTTCAGACCCCAAGTACAGAAAGCCAACTTCTTACAAGCCTGGCTTGGTAGAGGACACCCAAACGGCTGCTTCCATTGGGGGAGGGGTAACTCCCCAGAGCAGATCAGGGTACCATGGCCAGGAACATGGGGACTGCTGGACAGGCCAAACAGCAGATGTCTGTTCCACCTGCATCTCCTGTGAGTGTTACTTGAGGAATGAGGAAAGGGCACTGAGACCCCTGTTCTGGTCGTGTGCTGGGGGAAGGAGGGAACAGCCACACAAGGTGAAAGCTCAGTGGAGACAGGAGCTCAGAGCCAAAGGTGACCCTGAGAAATGAGCCCCTAAAATTTACATAAATCCTAGGGAGGCCATTGGAATTTCCCCAGGATGTTGGAAGGGGCTTGAACCAAATTTATGAAAAATCTAGATTGTATATTATTTCCCTCACACCATCCCTTAACTTGTGGCTCCACTGAGCTTGTGAGATTAAGGATCAGACTTGACAGGACAGGGACAGGGACGGCACCTCCAAGGTCATTGCCTGAGCAGCCAACCAGCTCCTCCTGTTTAAACATTAAAAAGGGTCCATTTTTTAACAATCCTTGTATCAGAAAGTCCTTCAATACATGGATCCTAGGATTTGGAATTAATAAAGCATCTTTTGAGATCTTTCATTCACTTACTTTATTTATCTACTCATTGGGATTCTAAGCTAGAGGTTCTTAAAGTGTGGTTCCTAGACCACAGCATCACTATCAACTTGGGAACTTGTTAAAAATGCTAATTCTAAGACCCATCCCCAATCTACTGAGTCAGAAATTCGGGGGTGGGGGGAAGTAGGGCAAGCAATCAGTATTTAACAAGCCCTCCAGGTGCTTTTGGTACAGGCTGAACTTTGAAAACCGCAATTCTATGGGGTTTGCCCAAAGTTGCAGACAGCTAGTGAAAGAGCCAAGAGAAGATTTCCAGTCCATGTATCTTTTGTGTCTCGTTCAAATCTCTCAACTGAAATTTGGTCATGGGGGAAGTAGTAATGCACTAAGTAGTAATACTTCATTGCAATTAACCCTGCATCTGTGCCCCAGAGTAGTAGATTTTGACATTCTATGTCATTGTTGCAAAGATTTATTTTTCCTTGTTTTCTCAAAGTCAACCCTGATTTATTTCCTCTGAGGTTATGATGGAGGACATCAGTCATGTCCAATTTCTTCCCCAACCACTCTCTTGCCAATAACTTTGATTCCCCTGCCCCTACTGAGATGAGTTCTAGGACACGTCTTAAATTTCAGTGCTTCAAGGTCACTCAGAGAAGGACCTGGGAATATTTTCTGGCCTCATGATGCTGCCCAGCTTCATGGAAGAGGCTATGTACCACCTCAAGCTTAGTCCAAAGGAGTACATGTTGACCTAGGCTTAGGTCAGTTGAGTCATTTCTTCCATTGCAACATTTTCTCAATTTTCTCCTAGTTTATTCCTTTCCCAGCAAAATAACAACCCAATCCCCATGAGAAGCTATAAAGATGTTACAGGAGAGACAGAAAGAACAAGCCTTCCAATGGGACCTCCAAGACCAATGCAGATATTTGTCCTCAAAGGAATCCAGTTATCTTGTTCTTGCTGGATTTGGCCACCTTGTGACATACAACTTTCCCATGATCACCTAACTGCTTCTAGGTCAATCTGGGCCTTCCTAATATCTTGGCACCCCTCAGGGGATATTCCACAACATCAATAATGGCACCAAATCCCCAAATCACATAAATCATAGGGCAAAAGTGATGGCTCACTGTGGCAGATACTAGTCTCAGGAAGAGTGATTACAAGCTCTCACCAGCCATCCCTGTCAAGAGAATCAAGAAATCCAGGCTGCTAAAAGACGAAGAAACAAAGAAATACGAGCCAATGCTGGTTTAAAGACAGAGCTGTCCAACCCCCAGGCTGAACACCCAATAATGTGTCCTTGCGTCTGGTCAAGTGTCCTGTTTCAGGACCACTTCCCAGCCTGTTGTCCTTCCTCCAGGCCACACCTGCAAGGGACAGCCCTGACAGTCTTTTTTCTCCTTTCTGTAAAATTTTAAAACAAAACTGAACTCATAGTATTTACAGTGTATGTTTTTTCCCTTTGCAATTTATCTATGTTTTCATGTCACTGTTATTTTTCTACATGGGCAATTTATTGCCCGTGTAGAGTTTCACTATAAATAAACAGCTACTGTCATGTAACCAACTAATTCTCTATTTGTAGGCACTGATAGTCTTGACTGTATTAACTTCACAGCGCATTCCATCATATGTCAGTATAAAATTAATTATATTTATTCCACTTAATATTCTGGTCCTGAATCCTGTTGTGTATGATTTTATATTCTTAGCACATGTAGTTGGGTTCCCTTTGGTTGCACTTGTCTCTGATATTTTTGTCCATCCCCTTACTTCTCAACTTTCTCTGTCATTTGCACTTTGTGTTTATTTTTATATATATATATATATATATATATACACACATACATATATACATAAATTAAATGATATATATTCATTGTATAAACAGCTTATGGCTGAGTTTCTTTTTCTCCACTTATCAAAAGTCTTTTGTCTTTTGATAGAGATTTTAAAGCCATTCACATCTATCATGACAAAAGTTTTACGTTTGTTCTGTCAGTTTATTTTATAGTTTTTATTTTTAATGCTTCCTCGTCCTTTTTTTCCCCTCCCTATAGTAACAAGTTTACTTCTTTCCCATTCATGATTTGGAAACTATATACCTTTGTATTTTCTACTTGGGCTTACTTAGTTTAAAATGTATAAATATATTTGAATTATACCACTTTGTTTCATTACTTTTTAAAAAAATGATACAAGTAAAACATGGACACATTTGCATTTTGCAAATTTAAAGAAGACCGAAGTATGTAAAAAGAAAAGCAAGCTTCCCCAGTCTCATTGCTCTCCCCACAGAGAACCACTGCCCTGACTTCGATGTATTTTCCTCCAGACCTTTCTCTGTGAGTGTGTTTATGTGAGTACAGATACGCAGATTTTTAAAAAACACAAATAGGATCAATACACATTGATTACTACTTGCTTTTTCACTTAATAATGCATTTCTTTGTAAATAATACACAGTGCTATATCAGTACTTACGTGTGTCATTAGTTACAATAGTCCATTATATGGATTAACCTCATTCATTTAATCACTCTTCTGACCATAGATGTTCACGTTGGTTCCTATTTTTCACAACTACAAACAAGGCTCTAATAAAAAAAATCTTTTATATACATCTTTGTGCACCTGTGGAAGTACTGCACAGTATCAGTACCTAGAAGTGAAACTTACAGAGTCAAAAATATGCACATGTAAGTTTTTGATAGCTCTGACTAAATTATCCTTCCAAATGTACCTTTATGCACTCTAAAACACTCCATAGGAGTACCTGTGGCCTCACATTCTTACCAATGCTGGGTTTTAACAATCTTTAAAAGTTCTGCTTATCTGATGATTAAAAATGATATTGTAGTGCTGCTTTAATTCCTAGCTCACTGAGTGACAGAGAGGTGTGAATCTTTCCACTTTTATTGACCATTTGGTTCTTTCTGCAAACTCCCTGTACTTTATGCTGTACTTCATGTACTTTGCCCATTTGTCTGTTACATTATTTATCTTTTTTCATATTAATTTGTGGGTATTAATCCTTGGTCTGTTAAATACACTGAAAATCTATATTCACTGAGTCTGTAGCCTGATTTTTAAATTTGTTATGATGATGTTTTTCCTACAAAAATTTAATATTTTGTAGTAATCATATCTGTGAATCTTTTCTGTCAAAGCTCCTTGGTTTCATGTATTCCTGCTGTACTGCACAGAAGTTTTAAGAAATTCATACAGCCAGGTAACCACAACCACAAAAAAGATACAGAACAGTTCTATAAACCCCCAAATTCATTCATGACTTTCCCATACCTAACCCGTCGCAATCATGGACCTATTTTCAAGGATTTCTAATAGGAATGGAATCATAAAGTATGTAGCTTCTTATCTGAATTCTTTTACTTAGTATAATGCATATGGAATTCATCCATGTTGTTTGTCAGTAGTTAGTCCCTTTTACTGCTGAACAGTGCTCTATCGTATGGAATTACAGTCATCCCCGGGGGATTGGTTCCAGGACAACACCCCCCTGCCCGCCGCCAAAATCTGAGGATGCTCAAGAACCTTATAGAAAATGGCATAACCTTTGTGTAAAACCTACACACATTCTCCCCTATACTTTAAATCACCTCTAGATTACTCATAATACCTAATACAATGTAAATGTTACTGTAAATAGTTGCCAGCATGTGGCAATTCAAATTTTGTTTTTTGAAACTTTCTGGAATTTGTTTCTTGAATATTTTGGATTCTCAGTTGGTTGAATCCATGGATGTGGAACCCACAGGTACATGGGGCCAAATGTACCACAGTCTGCTGATCCATTCACCAGCCAAAGGACATCTGGGTTGCTTCTGGGTTTTGGCTATTACGAATGAAGCCATTATGAACAGACACATAAAGGTTTTGGGGTGACTGTAAGTTTTCATCTCTCTTGGCTAAATACCAGGAGAGGGATTGCTGGAGCTTATGGTAAGCATATGCTTAACTATAGAAGCCATCGAACTGTCTTCCAAAGTGACTGAACTATTTCACATTCCCACTTCCAATGCAGGAGAGTTCCAGTTGCTCTGCACTTAGCATTGTCAGGTTTTTAAAACATTCTAGTAAGTGTATAGCTGCACCTTGCTGTGGTTTTAACTTGCATTTTCCTAACAACTGCATCTTTGGTGTATTTCTTTGCCATACATATTCCGTATGTCTTCTTTGGTGAAATGTCTTCTTAAATCTTTTGTCTATTTAAAAAACTGGGTTACTTATTTTTTTAATTGAATTTTAAATGTTCTTTGTATTTTTTCAATACAAGTCTTTTTGTCAAAGATGTAATGTGCAAATATTTCTCCCAGTCTGTGGCTTGTTTTCTCATTCTTTTAATAGTATCTCTGTATAGAAATTTTTAATTTTGATGAAGTCCAGTTTACAATTTTTTTTTCTCATGGCTTTTGTTTTTGGTATTGTATATGAGAAATCTTTGCCTAAGCCAAGTTCACAACGATTTTGTTTTTCTAGAAATCTTATGATTTTGGATTTTATATTTAGGTCTACA